CACCATATGTGACTATTTTGAATAGACAGGTCTGATAATTACTTGTAAACATCGCGAAACAAACACTATGTGTAACTCAGTCTTGATTAAACTACAAATAGAGCATAGTTGGTTGGCTCTTTCACTAAATGCGACCGTGTATTTTGTGCTTTGTTGTTGTTAAAATACGAATGAGAAACCCGTTGTTTTAATTTTATTTGAAGACATTTACTTGAAAAACTGACATCAGAATTTTGACACTATACGATTCATTCTCTTTGTAGTTTGTTTTCTTTCTTTAGTACTGTTCGTTGTACATTCTTGTACTGTTCGTTGTGTAAAAGCCTATCAATACGGTAGAAATATGTATGACACGGCGTGACAACTGTTCAAAGCTTTTTTAAGAGAGTTATAAAACTTTTCAAAGAAAATTCGTCGTAGAAAAATGTTATATTCATGGATGTTCTGCTCCAGTAAATTTTCGGATCCATGACAAGCTAATAGCAAACTCACCAACAATATTTAAATATTCATGATTTGAACGTGGTTATACCCGTGTATATTCAAGTAAGCATCTACGACTAGCTTGCATTTCAAATTGTAAATATCATCAATATTAAAGTCATTTAAAAACTATTTTCAGTTGTTGTATGTCGATTAATCATATAAAACGACAATGAAAATTCATCGCACTTCCAAAAATTCCACATCAGAAATGATTGCACTTACAGTGATAATTCAATGCATCTATAGTTAAAATGAATCGCATTCAGTAATCAATATTATGGACTCTGCTGCTTAAATAACACTTTTTTGGACTTTAATCCTGTTATTATACATTAAAAAGTTATATTCTGTTAAAACATACATTCAAATCTATTATTTTGTATTTTCAAAGAGTAAACAAACGCAGATTTCCCCATCAACCTTTATTCTACAATAGACATACTCGCATACAACAGTGAAAATGAACTAACTGGATTCGCACTTTATATACACTGTTTTAGTATGTATGTTGGTGATGGGAATATATGCATTTGTGGAAAGTTTTACCCAAATGTTTGTTAAGTTTTTCTCTTTTTAAACAGAAAGTGTATGTATAAGTTACACCGCGAGGGTGTTAGACCAAGTAAGTGCATCTAATTTACACCCCAAGATATTATGATTAATGTAAAATGTTAGATTTCTATAATTTAGGTGTAAATTTATTTACACCAGAATGTCATTAAACGTAATTGGATACCCTGCCTTTAACATTGATCATAAAATTATGCAAATTAGATACACCTTCTCATGCTAATGCCCTTGTGGTGTATCTAATACTTAAACATGCAACCCCCAACCTGCAACCCGCAACCCGCAACCTGCAACCAGCAACCTGCATTTTAGACAATTTCATAAATTGCATGCTTATATGGGTGATTTCGAATCTGTTCAAAGTTTTGATTTTCTACCCTATATACCACTTTGCCTCATAATCTTATTAAGAAAAAATCACACACCTAATTAAATGGGCATTTTAAAAGTCAGAATGCGAATATATATGTTCTAACTCTTTTAGGTCATTTTTAGTAACAACAGACAAAAGAACTATTGTAATAATTTAATGTTTTGTAAATATTGACCTCTAGTTAAATTGGCTTTATAACTGTTTATTTGTGTACAGAGAAAATTAATGACGCAAGACTAATTTGACAAATGGCTAGTTTTATTATCTGCAGTTAAAGTTGAACTGTCAGATGTAATTAAGACAAGTAAGATGTCTTGTGGTGTTGGGTAATAAAATAAGTTATGCCTATTTGTTTTGTCTAGAGTGAAAGTAATTAAACTTTCTGATAAAGGGCAGTTGGTCAAGATACTGGCAGATTGTGCATCAGCTGTGATACTAAGGATGTGATTTTCCTTGAAGTCTTGAATCGGTATAGATTCTGGAGGACTTGTATTTAAAGTTTATATGTTTAAACTTTGTAATCTAACTTTGTCAATAATCTGAAGTAATGTACATTTGTGAATAAACTTGTAAATATATATCGCATTATTTAGTTAATGGAAATTACCACAGGATACATTGTCGTGCCATAGTATGGTTATGTCCGTCCGTCCGTCTGTGTCGTTGTCGTTCCTCCCCTCGGTCACGTTACACTATGTCAATTGGACCTGCTTTGATACGATTATTGCCCTTGAATTTTTACTATAGATAACATTTCTGTTCGCTATGGAGATTCCGTATATCGTCAAGTTATCGGAATTCCAATGGGGACTAACTGTGCACCACTTATTGCGGACCTGTTTCTGTATTGTTATGAGTTACAATTTATGACTAAAATCAGCAAAGACCCATCGAAACAACATCTGATACAAAAGTTTAATAACACTTTTAGATATTTGGATGATATATTGGCTCTCAATAATGACGACTTCAGTATGTACACTAAAGAGATTTATCCTGCTGAACTGACTTTAAATAAAGCTAATACTAACAATGAACACTGCCCTTTCCTGGATCTTGATATATATATGTCTTTAACGGGAATAACGGGAAGCTTAATACCAAAATTTATGATTAAAGAGATGATTTTTCATTTCCTATTGTTAATTATCCATTTTTTAGATGGTGACGTTCCCTTGTCGTTATCTTATGGTGTTTATATATCTCAACTTATTCGATACGCTCGTGTATGTAACAACGTATTTGATTTTAACGAAAGAAACCTCTGTATTACTGAAACATTATTACACCAGGGTTTTTGATTTCACAAACTAGTCAAAACATTTACTAAATTTTATCATCGGTACAAAGACATCATTCGTAAATATAAATCAACATGCAGACATCTTATACGTTCAGGTATTTCACATCCAATCTTTTATGGTAATAGTCTATACAAAGCACAAAAATGTCCAAATTCACCTCAAAAGCTAATCAAACCTTTAAACAGACTTATTCAGAAGGGATATAGTTACGATACTGTTGTCAGGTCATTGAAGATGGCATATTTTGGTATTAATATTGATTCATTCATAGGGTCTTTGCATCGGAAATAAACACATTTATTCTAAAACCTGTTGTTGGCATGATACGGGTTATGTTCTCATATATTTTATGATGGTATGATACTAAACCCCTAACGGGAGGGATTGTGCTTGATTTTCATATGATGAAGACATAATCTTTCAATCAGTTTAATTGAGGTCTGGAGCTGGCATGTCAGTAACTGCTAATAGTCCTTTGTTAATTTATGTATCATTGTCATTTTGCTTAGTTTCTTTTGTTACCTATTCTGACTTCTGACGCGGACTTCTTTTAAACTGAGTTTTACTGTGCGTATTGCTGTGTGTTTGTTTATTCTAAATTGGCTAGAGGTATAGGGGAGGGTTGAGATCTCACAAAACATGTTTAACCCGCCGCATTTTTGCGCCTGTCCCAAGTCAGGAGCCTCTGGCCTTTGTTATTCTTGTATGTTTTTTAATTTTAGTTCATTTATATGTTTTGGAGTTTAGTGTGACGACCATTTTCATTGAACTAGTACACATTTTTGTTATGGGGCCAGCTGAAGCCCGTCTCCGGGTGCGGAATTTTATCGCTGTGTTGAAGACCCATTGGTAGCCTTCGGCTGTTTTCTGCTCTTTGGTTGGGTTTTTGTCTCTTTGACACATTCCCCATTTCCATTCTCAATTTTAAGACTCATTAACGAAATTTAGAAATTATTGTATTAAATGGAAATTAAGAGTCAATGTCGACAAAACCAAAGTTATGGTCCTTTCATAAGGTCGGCTTCCAAGGAATTTAAAGTTTCTTTACAATAATTTAAATATAGAAATCGTAAAGGATTTTAATTATCTAGGTGTATATTTTTCAAGAAATTTTAAGACTTGTAAACTACATCTTGATGAAAGGGCTACCAAAGCCATGTATTCCTTATTGAAAAAAGGACGTTACCGCAACCTTTCCGTCAAATGTCAAATGGACCTTTTTGACAAACTCGTAAAACCGATTCTACTGTTTGGTTGTGAAATTGTTATGAAAACGGGATTTTGTAACAATGATATGCTTGAAAAATTTGTAAACTTATACCCCACGTTAAGTCTTCAACACTTAGCTCTATGATTTATGGCGAGTTAGGCAGATATCCATTGCATATTGATATTAAAATAAGAAGGATTTTATATTGGACAAAATTGTTAAACGGGAAAGAGACAAAATTGTGCTCAATTGTTTATAAATTAATGACTCAAATGGCACTCGAAACAAATTTCCGATCAACTTGGCTACAAAGCATAGAAAACACACTAAACGAATGTGGACTTTTCTTTATATGGACATATCAAACATGTTATGATGTAAATTGGCTTAAGCGAATTGTTAAAACTACTATAAAAGACCAATTCACTCAAACTTAGGTCTCAAGTGTAGAAACCGCTGCAATAACTCTGAATTACAGGCTGTTTAAAGAATCGTTAGAAAATAAACTGATAAGCATTTCGATGTACTAAGCGACAAAGATGTGTTTACATTCTGTAAATTTAGAATGGTAAATCATAAACTGCCAATAGAATGTGGGAGGTGGTCTCATATCCCAAGAGAAAATCGGACCTGCCATTCATGTGAAGATGGCGATATTGGTGATGAATACCATTATCTCCTCAGAGATTTACAACAGAAAGAAAAGAATACTAAGATAAAAAATTCACAAAACGTAATATTCTTAACAGGTAACTTATGAATACGTCTAAACTATCTAAGCTTAGAAATTTGTGTAAGTTTATTAGAGTTATAAACGATGAAGTAAATTCTCTCAATTAACCTACTTCCTCCTCCCTCATATTTTAAGGTCTTCCATTTAATATACACTTCACTTTTTTAACACGTAATCATATCTATGTATTTCTATTGTATTTCCTCAACATATGTATCTTTGTATTATTGTATTATGTCTATATTCTTCTGTGTACCTTTGTATCTACAGCGGTTTAGCAGAATAAAGTATATATATAGAATTAATAGATCACAAAATTATTAGTTGCAGCAAGATACTGGAAAGAAAAGAAGGTATAATTTCAACAATGTCGAAACGTAAGTTATTTCGTATCATAGAACAGAGCTATTAGTTGGTCCTACAAATCAGTACAAAAATAGCAAAATTTTTCCAACCTTTCAAATATTTTTTTTATATATTACTTGGGATGTTAAAAATTTGGTCGTTTAAGGGCAGAGATATCCGTTGCGATGTAACTGTGACGTCATTTGCATATCAAAATTGATTGATTTGAAAAAAAGTCATCTAAAACGAATTGAATTAGATCACTTATTCATTTTACAGCATACATAAACCTTCCTACAGCTTCAACTATTCAACCATAAACAACAAAGAAATAAACTTAAAAACTGAATTTTATATATATATGGATAATACAATAAACTAAAAACTTGACGCAAAAACAAGCTAAGAACAAATTTTCTTCGAGAAGATTTTTTTTTGTCATATTAATTGAAAATTTATCATGCCATTCCAAAAGCTTTGGGTACCAGACTATTTAAACCCCCCGGCAATGTCAGTTCATCAACAGTGACATCGACACGAATGCAGTACTACAAAATAATATATCATAGCCGCTTTTTTAAATCACTAGTGTTGCTCGAAACCAAATGTGAAAAAGCTAAAAGTATAAAAAAAAAGTTGAATCGCAATTAACAGCAATTTATATTAATAAAAAAAATACAAACGAAAGAAAAAGAAAATGACAGAATGAAAACTTCTTGTAAGGATTCTGATTTGGGATATGCATACCAGTATATAAAGCTGGCGCAACAACAAAAAAACTGCACATAAAATGAAATACCAGACTTGATAGTTATTTTAGAAAACAGTCCGTGGTTTATTCAATATTTTATAATGATAAGCTATATCTTAGTAAAAACTTATTCCGATTTGAGTAAATCGAGAAAGAAAAGGTCCTGAAAATATAGTTTACCATGAAACTTTCCGATGGTAAAACTCTTTTAAAAAATGTACATAAATCGTCGCATCGGACGAATTCGATTTTTTGCATACATTTGTAAAACATATGGTGACGAAGTAATATCTGTCGGTGATAGTTTGTTTAGTATTATAACATCGAACACTCACAAAGTGGAAACAGGATGGCATATCCTATAAGCACTGCAATTATTAAACAGTAGCCTTTTAATGACACTTAAATACTTTCAACTCGTCTTCGTCGATAGTTTATGTTATATGACTGCCTGATGGATATACTACACTGAGTGTCTCAGTGATTTAGTCTAACTTTTTTATTAAATTATATTTGATATAGATTATTTGTTCATAACTTGAATGATATAACTATTATAAAAATTTAAGAACCTACTGATCTTTAACCGATATTTCAATGTTTCATAATTATAATTTTAACTTCAAATTTCTGAATTTGAACGATACTAATGACATCTAAGGTCTTCTAATATGAGCGAAAAGCGTTATTATTTCCTGAAAAGAACACACTTTATTACCGCGGTTCAAGGGTAACGAAATATTTTTGCAATATTTAATCCTGAAGTTCAGGATCTAATTTATTAATCAACAAATGTCCTTACAATGACGGTCGGTTGCATAAAAACTAAACAATTGTTTTATTTTTTTTTCAATTTTACTTTATTTTAACTGAAATATTTGAAACTTTTTTCAATACTAGAATGCAAAGAAACGTCATGTGTAAGGAAGACAAACATCTACGGAACATATGGGAGAAAGAATGATGAGGATGAATATGAGTTTGATAGTGACCGCTTAGAAGAAGACGAAGATACTTATGCAGTGATTCGTGATTCGCAGGTTGTATTTCAAACTACAGTTGAAATGGATGGTCAGTGTGATGAATATAACAATTATTTCACAAGTGGTTACAACCATCTCAACTTGATAGGGATTTCCAAGACCCCATCGAATTAAAAGGATAAAAAGTACAATTATGCTCGTGATGTTCACTTCCTTCCAAGATAAATACGTTTAATTTATAAACTGAACTTCAAAAGAAATGCAACAATCCCAGCAAAGCTACAATTTTCGTTCCTCCGAAGAATGCTAACATTTATCGTTAAAATTTAAATGTCAACTAAAAATTACTGAACTTAACATGTCTTACTTAATTCTAAAGCTATCGGTGTCAGACAGGTTTTAAACATTTTGTAGGATTTTTCCCATTCGATCGGAATTTGTTTACTCAAAATATTTGCCAATTTACTCAGTTAAAAGTTGTTCTACAATAAATAGATCATCAAACAATCATAAAAGATTAATTTCAAAGTTTTGAAGTTTTAAAATCATTTATAGTGCGTGTGACGTTTTATTTAGTGTAGAGTTGGGTTTCTTTTGACAAAAGTTCTGCTGTCCTGCCAGTTTGTTTTTGGGGTGATGCTATTTTTTTCAACTTAATTAAGAGGTGCTCCTCATCAAGCCAAATATTGACTCACTATATTCCACTTACTTTCCGATTACATTAGTTAAGAATTTCCTTGCAAATTCTCTTTTTATTTAAATATGGGATGGACACCTCTGGGATCTTAATATTTGGTCTCTGTGAAATCTAGTAGATATTCATCGAATCAAATGGTTCCCTGATATTATCTGTGTTTTCTTTACTTTATTTTCGGTTAATAAACCATTTAAATTGAAAACGTCATTAAGTCAAAAATCTATGTCCCATCTTCAACCAAATCAAAAAAATCGAAACTTTCTTCACCATCTTTATATTTTTTTTTTTGGGGGGGGGACATTCCCAAAAAAATTATCTGTAGCAAATATTGGTTAAAATTGCATTGTTTATATCCAAAAACATCTCTGTCTGCAGAACGTTTGCGTAAACATTTGAAATCTGTAATGTTTTTAAGTGGTTGGATCCAAGTTTCCGTCAAGGAAAATATATGGGTTTCGCTGAATTTGATTTAAACAAATAAATTTATAATTCACACTTAAAATGATTTGTTTCACAATACTTTACAGGAACAAAATAATTATATTTCAATTCAATATTATAATAATGTCAATTGGATGAGTTAAACAATTGATGTACCAGGAAGTAAACATAGGATATGAAAATACTTGAAACGTTATTAAAAAAATTACAACGCAGTAAATGTTTGTGCTACGTATTGGAATATTTAAGTTGTATTATTTGCTTTACTTTTAGAAAGGATAAGTTGCCCAAATAAACAGAGTACTGTTTTCTTATCATTTTTAACCTGGGAGGGGGGCTGGTCATTTTGAAATCAAACATATAAAATTTTCTTGATCCCCCCATAATATTTCACTATTTTTATTTTATCCCCCCTTAAAGACATTTTAAAACAATGTGATTCCCCTCTATTAAACATACTAAAATTTTAACATGCAAAACACTTACCTTTGACACACATCATATGTAGGATATACTTGAAGATTCAAAAGTTTACAAATGTTTTATTAGAGATAAGGCAAGTAAACAGTAAAAGACACATTTAATCCAAATGAATCTCACAAGTTATTCAAATTGAATATAGAATCAAGGTTGAAGAATTGTTATCAAATAGGCTTGAATCAATTCGACCAAGACAGGAATTGGCAGCTATAAAAAAAAACTCTCTGCATCAGATTTTTCGAAACGGAAGCAGTTGAGTTGTTGAAGAATGTTTACAATAAAAAATTCAAGTCTTCCATGCCAAAATCTAATGCGCTTGAAAAGTCAGATGAAAATCAAAATCAAGCAGAATCAGACACTCATGAAGCTCTTGATATGCAAGGTATAGGAGACGAGGAAATTGAATCTTCAGGAGATGAGTCTGACCCGTTTGACTTTATAACTGTTAAGCTTTTAGGTCCTGATGGTTATGTTGATGTGTGATCAGTGACATATACAGTACATACATTATTATAAATATATGTGGTAATGAAATAAATTTGTTCAATGGTGGTAAAATATATTTTCATTTGACTGTTGTAATGCTCTTCTTTACTAAAAATATTTGACCCCCCCCCCCCCCCCCTTGAAATATGTAAACTACTTATTTCCATGTGCAAAAAAATGGATCCCCACTTTGAATTTATGAAAATATTTGAACCCCCTTTTCCAATTACAGGAAAAAAACTTGATTTCCCCTACATTTTAACCAGCCCCCCCCCCCCCTTGCCAGGTAAAAAAATGATAAGTCCCATACGTCTCTTCCATATTGAAATGTTTTGTATTCATGGCGGCATTTTCGGTCCTAAAGTATATCAGGAATGGTCCGTCTGTGATTTATTTGTTTATTTCATCTGATGATTATAACTTAATCAATAAACAAAACCTTCTTTTACTTCTTTCAGTCACCATATTGACTGAAAGAAGTGAAAGAAGGTTTAAAGAAACATACCAAATTTCTTTGAAAATGTGACGTAATATTTTTATGTTTAACATCACACTAAGCATGATTGAGATGCTTTTATGATGTCCTGAGAAATATTACGTTTTCTATAAATATTTTCCATACATTTGTACATATATATTTCTTAATTTGAAACAAAGATAGCAAGGAAGGTGGTTTACCATCACGCGGTTTTTGTGGAATGAAATATTCCTATCTCACCCAAACTCTTGGATAAGACCGCGTATATATTCTTTTTTTTCGATTTTTGAACAGTTTCCAATCCATTTTGAATTTTAATGGATAAACATAAGAATTAACCGAATTTTATTAATTAAAAGTACAGTAGACAAGTTATATGATTTTTCCTAGTAAAATCGTGGAAGTTGAAGAAACAAAATTGCTTTGAACTTTATTTTATTTGGTCCAAATGATATTTAGTATTTTAATGCTTCGATGTTGTATTTTGTCATGGGAATATTATCGTTCAAACAATCTGTGTTGTATTATTGGGTAAAATATTTGCGATCTGGTACTGTTCCAAACTTTTATCATACTGATCGTTTTAAATCCCAGTGACATTTTGAAGCATACACCATTCTCGACACGCTGTAAACAACAGGTTTTTCTGTCAAAAGTTTAATCAACACTTATGATTTCTTATTGATTAATTTATAACTATCATATTAAAACATTCTAGAATTACTTTTAATGTAATACAAAATGCGAAATGTACTGCGCCATTTGCATTTATATCACTTGAAATTAACAAAAGCAGCGTGCATTTCATACTCGCTGTATAATTGTATTGATTTGATTACATTTTGAAGCAAGAGTGCTATGTAATGCATGTTCGTCTTGTGTACTAAACATGGGCTATTCTATACTGTTTGTAATGAGAAGAACGAAATTTTTAATTCTTTTTTATTTATATCATTTTTGTAAATATCTAATTTTTGTTATTTTGCGTTATTAATCTTGCTTTGAATATAGATGTATGGCAAATGAAAGTAGCAAACTGATAAAAATGCTTCTATTAACAGTGATGTTGCATAAAGCAATATATCAGTAAACAGGGGCAATGAAGATCTGTTCTTGATAAGATTAGAGAAAGTGATCAAATGTTACCGATTATATTGTATTTGATCTTTTTGTAAATATTAGCTTGTTTTTATTTTTATTATTATAGTTATAAATATCTAATCGTGTCCCCTGATAGCGTCTCTCTCTGGTCACTAGTGTCGCGAAGCAAAACATAGGTGTCGTCATATTGTGTTAATTCCATAGATGTTTTGTAATAGTTGCATCATCATCACTGTAACTTGATTTCATGTAGAAAATGATACTCGTCCGCCGATTATGCACAAATTACTTTAAAATTCAAATTTAAGGGTGTTCGTAAAAAGTGCTTATGGTCGACAGTTGAGATGTGTTGTGCTGTTTCATTAGTATTTGTGCACTCCAGTTTCGGGGAAAATGTGAGCCTTAGCGCTAAGTCATGCTTCACTGGCTTATGAAGTTTTACATAGTTGAAATGTCAAGATCTCTTTAGTATGGCCAAGTAAAAATAGTATACCATTGATGAAAGTATGATGATGCATCAGGATCTATACACTTAAATTTCGGACAGTGTGAGGTGGACACTATATAAAGGCACACACACCCTTATTCACACTGAAGTGAAAATTAATTTTTATATTGTCGAAATGTTAAGTTTCTGATAAGAATAGACTAAGAAGATGTGGTATGATTGCCAATGAGACAACTGTCCAACAGTCCGAATGAAGCGGATTTAAGCAACCATATATCATCGTACGCCCTTCAACAATGAGCAAAACTCATTCCGAAGAGTATATAACTAAAGGTATGTTTTTATAAAGCAGTTATACTTGTCCGTCGATATTTGTTGTGCTTCATTTTAGTGTCAATTTATTGTCATGCTTCAGTGACAACATAATTTGTACATTGTTCAATCATCTCTTTTTATCTCACGTGCGATTTGTGTTTTTTTTTTCTGAATTTGGATCATTTACATTGTTAATTGTGAAGGTTTATTATCAAGTAAGCTTTACTGAGAAGAACTGAAAAGGGAAGTCCGCTCACGTGTGCACATGCAGTAATATGACAGTTTAGCAAATTACCTCGTCTACGATAGTAGGGGAAAATTGTTTCCCGACCGTCCGATAGAGATGAAGTTGTGTACAGTTTAACTTGAAACTTTTTATGCATGCATGCATGCCTATGGTAATGTGAAATTTTCAAAAATGTGAAAATTTAAAAAATATATACCTTATCAGGTTTAATGCACAACCGTCGAGATGTAGCTCTGTGTCAACAATTTCATGACCAACTTTTAATATTTTGTTTTGCATGATTGTTTTTTTTTAATAAAACATTATAAAATCTATTTGATTATTTAATGATATAGAGTTGACCAATCCCTTCAATCAAAGATATAAAATAGTAGTAACCATTATCAAAAGTAGTGATAGACTCGAGCTAAAATAGTCGATTCGAGTACGTGAAGTTTAGTTATTTTTTAACAAACAGGGCTGATTATACACAAAACACGCTGTAAACATAAGTATTCATCTACTCTGAAGCTCTTAAAAACTTACAAAAATATGCCCGGCTGTGTGTAAGTACAATGAACAAAGAAATGAATGAATTACCTGGCAGTCAGACGGTTCTTCGTACTTTTTTCATTAATCCAGCAAATTGTGAGAAAAATATTTAATTTGCTTTGTTGTAGCAGTAGCCTTATAAATAAAGCCTTTATTCAACATTCATATTCTGATATTGGTCACTGAATTGCAAGAATTTTTATAGACTGCAAAACCACAAAGGGTCATAAGGCAAAATGCAAATAGTTGAGTTGAGTCGACTACTAACTGTCTCGTCCATTGAAATTATAATGTAGAAAACTATTGAAAAAAGAGGCGAATAACACCGAAGAGCCATTCAAACTCATAAGTCGAAAATAAACGGCCAACGACATGTCTAAAAAAGAAAAAAAGACCAACAGACAAACAACAGTACACAAAACACAACATAGAAATTAAAGACTGAGCAACACGAACCCTACCAACAACTACGGGATGATCTCTGGTGCTCCTGAAGGGTAAGCAAATCATGATCCACATGTAGCAACCGTCGTGTTGCTCGTGTAAGTACAAACACGGTGATAAGTCTTATTCGGTAGGTCACATTTGGGGAAAAGGGGACGGGATTGTAGTTGCGACAATTTGATCATCTCCGTCGTCATCTAAGAAACAGATATTCCATAACGGTCAACCAACTCGTGATGGCGTCCGTAAAATTTACGAAGGGATGATTTCAACTTCACCACTTGGAACTCTTGGTTTAATAGCTTCCTTGTGAGCAGCAA